TTTAGACAGAAAAGAGGAGATGATGGGAGATGTCATTCTGTAAATATGTTTCTCTTACTGGTTAATGAATAAAGAAGCACTGTTGGCCAATAGGAAAGTGGGACTAGGAGACAAGGAGGATTCAGGAAGTAGTAGGGAGGAGATTCAAGATGTAGGACCAGGAGAACAGAGGTCACAGCCATCTCCCTGGTAAGATAAGACCACGTGGAAATACTTAGATTAATAGAAATGGGTTAATATTTAAGACAGAGCTAGCTAGTAAGTAATGCTAGTAACAGGCCAGCAGCAATATATCTAAAAAGTAAATCAATCAATAAATAAAATTCATGTACACAGAGTCCTATTCTTTAAAAAAAAATCTAATTAGTCAAGTTTTTCTTTTGCATTCTCTTCTAATCAATTGAACAGAAAGTATGTCCCAGCCCTTCTGCCCTGGAAGTTTATGCTGGACATCTCTTTACAGTGTTGTACTTCATCAGAATTGAACTTTAAACATCTAGTCATGCCTAGGCCGCATGCTAGACCAAGTAGCTCACTATCTCCAGGGCTGGAGCAATGACACAGTGGTTAAATCACGCGCTGCTCTTGCAGTGAACCTAAGTTTGGTTTCCACATAGCAACTCACAACCATCTATAACTTTCCCAGAGATCCAACGACCTCTTCTGACCTCTGTGTACATACTTATGATGCACATACAGACTGATATAAAATAAATACACGTACATAAAATGATAAATACGTCCTTTTTAAAATCTGCATCTCTCCATGAAAATCCAGCTGACCCAGCAACTGACTTTTTATTGTTTATTACTTTTATTTTTCTTATTTTTTATATTTGAAGCAGGAGGTTTACTTATTCTGTTTTTATTTAGGTAATTTGTTGAGCACTTTCCATTCTGGAAGTTTCATGTCCATAAAATCATTTTTTATTTGTTTTTTGGGGTTTGGGGGGATTATATTTTTTGTTTGTTTTTTGGTTTTTTTGTGTGTGTTGTGAGGGTTAAGAAGATAAACAAATTTATTGATTTAGATTCTTCAGTGAATGGTTTACACAATATACACAGCTTCCATTCATCCATCCTTTTATGCTTGCATGCTTGCATGCTCCAGGGCACAAGCATCTTTTAGATGACTCACCACAAGCCAAGCACAATTAAGAAGGTAAAGACAGTTATGTTTCCCAACCATCATTTTCATCTTCCCTCATTTCACAGAAAAGACCACATACAAAGAGGTCATTTTTATATAAGATCTCAGAAAGTAACTGGAAAACCATATGCTTACAGTGTAGATGGTCATGACTGCAACAGAGATGGAAAAATGCAAATTCTCCTAACCAGGTTTCCAGGCTAGCTTTCCAGAAGTTCAGTTTTTGGCTTTTATTTCCATGCAGAGTTGATCACTCAAAGGGACTAATCCACATCCTTGGCAACCCCTTCTTTTCTCCTCCCTGAGTACATGGCTATGGGTGCTAGACAACAATTTCCTGCTGGTGCTCACATGAACAGCTGCAGATACTGGGGAAGGATTGTGAGGAAAGCAGGGACAATTGCTATTTAACTTGCCTGTTACAGTACTTACACAGGAACACACGCGTGTGGATGCCTAATAAGCCATGCAGTGAAATTAGCCTGATTCTGCTCAGCTTCCTTGTTCTATTAGCCTTTGGGAAGACAATGATAATTATTTGAAACATCTGGAGAATAACAATCATAGAAAACCAGTGCAGCAAAAAAAAAAAAAAAAAAGGAAAAAAGACTTAAAAACAGATTATATTTGCCCAAGGTACATTTCTATCTGGGAAAAAGAAAGAAAAAATGAAACAATTATGAAGTTCTTCATGCTTTGTCCACAAAAATGGTAAGCCCCTGTACCCCACACACTCCTTTTAAACATAATCATGCTGGACAGAAATTTGACTCAAACACTCAGGTGGGTCCAGACTCACTCTGACTTTAGCAAATAATTACTGTGAAATTTTCATAGAAACTGTCACAGTTTATTTAACTGAACATAACATATAATTAAGTGCACCACACTGCCCCACAGCTGCTGAATCCTCAAAGGTTTAGAGAAGCATTTCTCTTGTGTAAAGACAGTCTGATATTTTGTTTTTGATGCACTGACCTGCACTATGTTCAATAGGGTAATTAGAAACTAAAAGAACGAAGGGAACCTTTACCCAAAGAAGAAAGAAACCGGTTTCAGCTGTTTGGTTTCAAATCAAGCACCTTTCTGGAAATTCATAATCTGATCAAATAAGAATATAGTTAGCAGGCGTGGGTGGTTAGATAATCAGAATTGCAGAATAGTTACAAGCTGTGCTTTTCCCATCCCAGACAGCCCTTTAAGGCTTGTGAATGATTAACATGTCAATTAATGGAAATTTTTTCAAACAAAACTTAAGACTCTAGGCAGGAAACTTTCTGTACACTTCAACACTGTAGCACACACCCCCCCCCCCAAGAAAAAATATGGCTGTGACTTCTTTGAAATCGCTATTGCTCATTTCCATACTGTGTTTTTATGGCAGCTGTGCAAAGACTGGGTTCATAACCTAGCCCCATTGGAGGTGTGAGGCCTGAGGGCTGCCTCTGCTACCTGAGAGGCATCTTTACTAGGCTGCCATCACAGATGCTGGAGAACAAGGCCTTGCATTGTTCTCTGGTCCCTTTCACTTTTGGAAAGTTAATAAGCAGTATTAGTGATGTCTTTCCACTGAAGGCTATGCAAAGTAATGAGCTTGGCTCTTCCTCACTATTGCCTTTTTCTGTGACCTCTAATAAGGCTGTCTCCTGCAAAGACTGACCCACAGAAGAGAAACACATCACCAAGGGGAAAAAGCATGAACAAGTGGACAATTAATGCTAGTGAGCCAGAGGGGGAGAAAATGAAAAAGAGCACAGGGATCCATCCACCTTCGGCAGTACCTACAACTGCAACCACAGAGAAAATCACTTCAGAGGCACCAGCTGAAAAGTCAGCTCTGACCCTTCATGAGCAATGACCAGCATGGCTTCCCTTGATGTAGCTAGTTTAAAGTAGCCCCTAGTAACATTCTTGAATACCTATTCTTTGTTTGTTTGGTTTTATACATCATTGTGATACTGAGACACAAAACATGCTGCCTTACCTAAGGCCTGGCTTTAAAGGAGCAGATCTGAAGTTCTCTCTACTGCGGTGAGCAGGTTCAAAGTATATGTACACATTTGCCTGTTCAAAGATCACTATGGGATGTTGTATTTGGAATTTAGAGTATTGATTCTATGAATGGGAAATGACTTGAACTAAACTTGATAGCACTTAGAGCAAAGCTAAAATCTGAAGCCTAAAACAGCCAATTGAGTTCTGAAAAATGTGTATAATCTCTGACATTGAGTAGCTGTCCCCAAAAAATACAATTACTAAGGATGGGTATATGAGTGGATGACAGAAAGCTGAAGAGAGCCACCACCTGTCACTATCTCTACCTGAATCAGGTGTCATCCGTATGTTAGCTTTTCTCCAGACTTTCTTTTCTGTCTCTTCCAGCTTCATGATGGGTCTAAGGCTATCTCCCTCTGAGGATTGTGCTTCCTCCTGGACTTACTCACTCTTTACCAAACATCGACAACACACATGTTCCCCAAGATCTGGGGCTTCTTTTGTGAGTCCATCCAAGTTCTTATGCATGATGTTTCTCAGGAAGACTGAAAATCTGATAATCCCCTGACTTCACTGTTTCAAAGACAACCCAACATAAGGAGACCAACTTTTAAGTCACAGTCTCCCTCAGTGTCAATTTTATTCCTAGCAATTACATGTGGCTCTCATATTACCTCATTCTAAACTACGTACTTCATATCTGAGATGTAATTTAATATTTGAGCATTTAAAAAATAATGGTAAGATTTGTATTCAAAACCTACAGTCTATTTGGTGCTATGACTAGTTTAAAACTGTCATTGGGTGTCTATTTTCTGTAGTGTGACTTCAGTTTAGGGATTTAATGGTACCTTAGTGTAAGAATCTGCATCCATTCACAAGCCAGAATCACAGCAGTCTCAGGGATGAAGGGGATGTGAACAGACAATAGAAAACAACTCACCTTACCTGCCTTGTAACATAGCAAGCAACATCTTCACTTTCATTGAGCAATTATGTTTTAAAAGCCAGATATCAAGTGATCCAAAAACAATCCACACATTTCTGACACTCATTCCAACTTTCATTTACACATCAAGCACAAGAGTCTACTGTGTTGCATTTAGCTTTCATGAGGTGAGGAAGAAAACAATAGATGCCATACTATCAAGGCAATGCCTTTTGCTTCAAAGAAACATGATTTAAAATAGCATTCAACAGTGGTCTTGTGCACATGTTAGGGTTGATGTCCTTTGGAGGAGAGTTATAGATGAGAAAAATATGATACCCTTCTTGGTTGAGAACATGCATGACTTGTTCATTAATATAAGAGTTTTCCATCCTAAGTTTAGCGTTGACCATAGGTCCCTCTTGTGTGATAGTTTCTATTTGATAAGAGAAAATGTCCCAGATTAAGCACAAAAATGACTTTGGCATGTTTTAACAAGCCTGGAGTTAGCCAGGTCCCCCCAATATTCATTGCATTAAGATTTAAGGAGGCACTAATCAAGAGAGGAAGGATAATAACAATATTTGGAATAACAAAGAGGAGGCAGGAGAGCAGGAAATTGATACAAGGTTAACAATATGGTCATTTAATTGAGATAGTCTATTGTCTATCATGCCTGTAGTCTATATGCCCAGTCCTCCAGGGACTTAGCCAAAGACTTGCAACCAAGGGTTTAGGTTATTTGTAGCTGCTGTGACAGCAGGCATAGTGAGAGCAAGTTGCATTTCCTGTATTTGTTCCAGGAAAGTCTTCTATAAAATAAGAATGACAAGAAATTCTGTTTTTGTGATGCTTTCTCACCCCCAGGCAATGTGTTGTGCTTTTTGTATCTGAGATACAGTAACAATGATGTCACAATCATCAAGAATTCTCAGCCTCAGCATTGGCACCAAGGACATACTGAGGACTCTGACCAATCAGTCCTGGTAGCAAGACACCTGCAATGAAGGTGAGTTTGGCAGTAGTAAACCTCCAAGACAGCCACCTGTAGTTTCCACATTCTGAACTCCATGCCCTGGTACAGTTCCCTCACATACTGACTAAAGTGGTCCAGTGGGATGCTGTGCAAATGTCAATGTAGGATTTCCCAGACAAGGTCATAAAATAAACCGAAGCTACAGTTTTCTCCTTCTGTTTTAGAACATTTGCTTGGTGAGAAGTCAGCTGCCACAAACCACAAACAGCATTGTGGGTAAGATCCATGGTGAGGAACTGAGAGCTCCTGCCAGAAGCCAGTGACAAATTGAGGCTTCCTGCCAACAACCTTGTAAGTGAGCCATCTTGGAAGCCATTAGTTAAGCCCTCTCCTGACTTCATCCCAAGTTTCTGTTTTAGCCTATGTGATTTCAAGCCAGAACTACTCAGCCTAGCTGATCCCATTTGTGACCCACAAAAAAAGGTGAAAGATAAGTGCTTCCTAACTTCAGCTACTGAGTGCTGCAGTCAGTTTTGCATAGTGATGTTTATATATTTTGATACATTGGTCATTGGAAATGGGTGGCTAGAGTAACAAATAAGTAAAACTACTAAATAACTTTGGAAAAGACAGTGGGCAGAAGCTGGAAAGATTGGGGAAGAATGTTGGTGAGAAAGTATGCAAGGAAACTTCCCAGAGTACTCAGTGCTCCACTACGGAGGGTATGAATGGGAACCTAAGAGAGATGTGGATATAAAAGCAAGGACAACTTATCAGGTGTCAGAAAACTTTGTAGCACTTGAATATGGAAATCAGAAAATGGACCACAGATGGCCTTGCTAAGGAGAATTAAAACAGTATAGAAGGCACAGTTCAGATTCAGCTTGCTGCTTATAGCATGATGTGAGTAGAGAGACAGCCAAAGAAAAAGTTCCCCACACTTGATTGAGATATAAATGACAAATTAAACTTGTATACATTTATAAGTTTAGGCATATAATATCTTGACCAATTCTTATTGTGAAATTACTAAATCACATTAGTCAACCTTATGTCCTTATTAGTTTTCATAGTAAGTGCAGTGTTTCCATTTGCTTTTTGTTGCTGTGATAAATACATTGACCAAAACCAACTTGTGGAGGAAAGAGTTCATTTCACTATAGGTTGAGGAAAGCCACAGCAGAATAAAGGCAGGAGCTGAAGAAGAGGCTGAGGGGGAACTCTGCTTACTGATTAATTGAGCTACCTCTTCCTAGGGGTAGTTCCACCCACAGTGGGCTGGTCCCTCCCACATCAATCATCAATCAAGTAAATGAATCATAGACATTTCCACAGAACAATCTAATGAAGACATTTTCTCAGCTGAGGTTTTCTCTTGCCAGGTGTGTCAAGTTAATCATTGATGGTAACTATGATGTATATTAAGATCACTCTTAGCAACTGCACATTCACTCCTGCTAACTAGCCTCTTGATGCCATACACAATACACCTATAGCTTCCAGGTTTTATCTAACTAAAACTTGGTATAAAGAAAGACCTTCCTGATTTTGAGAACTCCCAGTCTGTTCAAAATGCTAAAACTAAAAAGTAGCTTCAATACAAGGAGCCTGCTCTCTTTATTTAGTCCCTCATACTGTCTATGCCCCTCCTTACGGTGGTACATTTGTCACAATTCATGCATCATAATCAAAGCCCATATTTGACATTCTATCTCATTTTATTTGTGTTCATTCTGTGGGTTTGGACAAATATACAGTGGCAGTGCCCATCTGTTAAAATTAACATTGAGCAGTTTCATTGCTCTAGAATCTTTGAGCTACCCACTCATCCATCCTCCTCCCTTAGTTTTTTCTACACTTTATAATTTAGTAATTAAGTGAAGCAACATATCTAACAAAAGTAAGCTTCTGAGGTCAATAAATATAGATATTACTTTTAACATTTATTGAAACTCACACTTGTTCAAAATCAGATGTCTGTTATGCCTTCTCAGGTTTGACCTATGACCTCTTGGCTCCTTCTGATTTGCATGATTGCCTCATGCAGAATTAATATATATCCAGGCTCTTTAAAGTATTCATTTTAACAGCTTTTCATGAGCATTTCAAAAGAATAGTATCAGAACTTTGTTTTCCAGATATCAGTTCATGTGTGGGAATAATTCTCCCAGACTTTTATAATTATGACAATTTGGGAAAGGGAAGAACAAACAGCACATTTAATTTGGAACAATTCTAACAAAGTCTGTCTTTGCTTGTCTTCTCAATCTTTCACTATTTAGGAGTTTGGCACAATCAGTATAGTAGTCGCCTTTTACAAAAACAACCTAAAATCTAAAAAGACTGGAGTCAAAAAGGAAGAATTCTGTACTAAATGTGAGAAATGCAAACCACATGGTCCACCTTGACAGGTGAGCTGGAAATATGGGACAAGGACAGTGTCTTGTTTGGGGTTTCTATTGTTGTGATGAAATATCAGGACCAAAAGCAACTTAGAGGGTTAAGAGTTTATCTCTCCTTGGAGCATGTAGTCCATCACTGAGACAAGTCAGGGCAAGAACTCAGGGCAGGAATGAAAAGACAGGAACCAAAACAGAGCATGGGGGACATGGGGGAACACTGCTTGCTGGCATGCTCCTCCATCACTTGCTCAGCCTATTTTCTTATAGCACCCAGGACCACTTGCCTAGAGGTTGCATGACCCACAGGGTCCTCCCACATTAATCATCATCAAAAATGCACCACTGGCCAATCTGATATGAGTATTTTCTCAACTGAGATTCCCTCTTCTCAAACAACCTTAGTTTGTGTCAAGTTGACATAAAAACTAGCCATCACATATGGCAAGGATTTAGGTGAACAATGCAGTTTCTAGTGTCAAACACCTCTAGAGAGAAGCCCCATCTTCCTGAGTTAATGACCCTCAAATCACCTGAAGATACCTTTATATATTTTTGAAAGTTATTTAAGATCCTGAAGAATTTCATAATGTATATCCTGAATAATAATCATAATTTAAAGCAAAGTTTTACAATGTTTGATATATAAACAATGCTCTATTAACTCTTGAGAATGATGGCATGTTTCCACATGCCTCTTATAGACTCTAGATTCTACTGCAAGGGTAACCTCGAAATGTGCTAATTTCATGGATCTGCTTCCAAATATTCCCAAGAGTCCTTGGAACAAAATGCAGGAACTTGGAGCCAAGAACTGAAGCAGAGACCATGTCAGTGGAAGAATATTACTTGTGGGCTTGCTCCCCATGACTTGCTCAACTTGCTTTCTCATACAGCCCAGGATCACTTGTCCAGGAGCAGTCTTCCCACATCAATTATCAATCAAGAAAGTGCCCCACAGAAATGCTCACAGGTTAATTAGGTGGAGGCATTTCCTCAGTTTAGATTCCTTCTTTCTAGGTGCATCCAGTTTTTGTGTGGAAAGACATAACTACCCAGCACAGTCTCATGTTCTTAGATGAACATTTTGCAGAGAAACCATTGGTTGATTTTTACAATAAATGGAAGAGAATGAAATCTATTTTGGAATAAGAGAATCTTAGAATTATAAAGAACCATCAATACAATATAGCTAAGTAGACAAGGTAAATTCGATTATGAATAGAAAGAATATCTGAAGCTATGTAACATTCACCCAGCCTAAATCACTAAGCATGAATAATCCAATGATTTTGATCCCCTAGAAGTCATTTCAATGGATTCTTACACTACAGTTCATAGAAGACTGGGGGAAGCAGATTTTAAATAGCCATGTATTTTCTTGTATAGCCTTACTATAACCATTTATAAATTTCCCATCTATCAAGCTGCTAGTTTTTTTCTAAAAAGGGAAAGAAGTATTATGATACACTATATCAAGAACTGTTTCTTCAGTAATAAATTTTATACATGGGAAAGTTTTTGAGAGGATGGCTAAAATTATTTTCCAACATACAGGTAGCCATCTGTGACCATGGATTCTACACCCCTGGATTCTGTGGCTTTTGTGAACATACACATTCTCCCCCCTTACCATTATTACTTAAGCAGCATACCATGTCAGCTATTTACATTGTGTTGGCTATTAGAAGTAATCTAGAGATGATGGTGTGCTTAGTATAATGCAAATAGCACACTATTGTGTAAGAGACTTTAGCATCTAAAGATTTGGGCTCTATGATGTGTTCTGGAACTTTTTCCCCATGGAGATGAGACTGTCCTTAACATGTCACTCTCTATCTTCATCCATAGGGTTATCTACTCTTCTTGGTGATTCTGATGTTAGAGGCCTCCATAGTCTAGCAGAACACAGCTTCATTTCCAATGGTAATCACTAAGTTCCTTCGTAGCCATCAGAACATAAAGATGAACTCAGAAGCAATTCTTTGATTTTCTTTGGTAATTACAAAGTAGAAGGAAATTTGGAATCTAAGAGCTTTTCAACTGAAAAAAAATAATAAAAGAGTAGCAGTTAGAACTGGATAAACCCTCCTTGACCTCCTGTGACATTTAAATACTCTTCTTCCAACCCTGGCCATTTTATCTCAACCAGAGACTTGAATCCTGAGATGACATGGGGTCAAGCCCCACTGTAGTGCTTGCCAAGTATACCCACATCTCTCTGGCTCTCTCTTCCTCTCCCTTGCTCTTCTTCTGTCTACTCCAGTCTTCTTTTCTTCATCTTCAGTCGTTTGTCCTCACAAGTTTACTTAAACTGACAAAAATCTTCAGTTTCTCTTTAGAAAAAAGTTAGAAGTTGAGCTATGCCTCAGGTCCCAGTGACCTAAATGATTTCTTTTAAATTTTGTTCTGGTGGTTTGAGTAAGGAATGCCTCGCCCCAGATATGCTTGTACTAGATTCCAAGTGGAAGAACAAGGTTCTCCTTCAGGTCTAGTGATCTAGCTGGAGATATAAACTACCAAAATGGGTGTCTGAGGTTACATAGCAAATTACTCAAACTGTGATGTTCAACATAACCAACTTTTATTGTTTTCCATGCCCTGCAGGCCAACAATCAGAGAGCAGGTAACTGGCTAGGAATTAACTCAAGATATCTGAAAAACATACAGTGATGCTGCTAGCTGGGGCTGTGGTCTCATTAAAGGCTCAGCTATAGGGAAAGCTGCTTTCAATCTCAATCATACAACCACTGTCAGACTTCAATTACTCTCTGGCTATTTGGGGGCATAGCTCTTTCTAACCTTTTAGCTCTATCCATAGACAAGCTAAGTTGTCTATGACATGACAGTTTCAGTTCACTTCCTTCAAGGGGAAAATGAGAAAGGAGGCAGTCCAGGCTAGTGAGACACCTGTGAAGCTGAAATAATTTCCACCAGGCCCTGAAGGATGAG